ATTGCAGCTGCAATTTTTGCCGCCAAGTGTGGGCATAAATGACTTGTAGGTTAAAAACAGGTATTTAGGCACCTAGCTGCCCCCATAGATACCCACATTAGTTAATCCCACAATTATTTGAATGTGCAAAATGTGAGACTATATTGAAAAACCAGGTCCAAATAACAAAGCTGAAGAGATATGCACAAACTGCCCTTTGACTGCATTTACTGGCAAATCATAGCAGAATTCCTTCAATGCTTTGGCTGACAATGTTGGATTTTATACATCTAAAAGTTGTGCTAGAGTTAAGAATTGCAGCCCTGGGACATCCAAACCAATTATATTTAGTAGCTGCATCGTATGGATAGGGTATGGCTTCACTGAAGAGTTAATAGAAGTGTTGTGTTAACCCCCCTCCCATCCACACACAAAACCCTCTCACCCAAGTCTGGTAGGCTGGCTGGCCTGGCTGTAGTAGATGCTAGAGCTCAGGTGTCACTTTTACTCTGCCTGGTAACTCATCCATTTTGCAGTGGGGATGCAGGCTGAACCACTCGAGTCAGGGCCGGCTCTAACTTTTTTGCTGCCCCAAGCAGCAAAAAAAAGCACCGCCCCGCCGAGCGCCCCCCCCCCCCGAGCGCCGCGCCCCGCACTGCCGGAACCCCACCCACCCCGAGAGCTGCGCCCCCCGCCGCCACCCCGCCGAGCGCCGCGCTGCTGGAGCGCCCCCCCGCAGAATGCCGCGCCGCGCTGCCCTCCGCCACCCCAAGATTGGCCGCCCCTTACCAGGTGCCGCCCCAAGCATGTGCTTGGTTGCCTGGTGCCTGGAGCCGGCCCTGACTCGAGTACAGCTAGTCATCTGATGCCTTCCCACAATTTTCCCCTCACCCCGCATGTGCCCCAAAGGACAGACAAGTTCTACAATTCAGTGAGAAAGAATCATAGAGCGACTCAGCTTATGGCAGCACAACGAACCATCGGATATGCCCCCAGAAGTCCTACTGTAGTGCCAGTGGGGACATAGTAACTCTGTTATGGCTTTGCAGTGTGGCTGCTCACACCCCGGGCCAGGCTACTGTGGGCGCCAATCACACAAGCTATTGCTATCATGAAGACGTACCCATAGAGAGGAAAACTGGAAGAGGCTTGCAATTCAGTGTACAGCACATGAGCTCAGGGAACTGGGTGAAGTTGTTTCAAGCAACTGTGGGGTTTGAACTCAGCTCAAGGTAAGAAGCAGCATTAGGACTGGGTTTGAGATCTGTCGCAATGGGAATCAGTGGCACAGGTAGAGATGGAGAAACACAGATTTTGGGGCACAATTTGTATCCACAATTGACCCAGTGCATAGGAGGTTAGTGACCTGTGGGTTTGGCCCCTGCACATGCCTCCTGCACAGCTCTGGCTGGCCTTTCCACAATCCAGATTGCTAATCCACAGAGCCTGGGTTGTGTCTTCACTAGGGAAAAAAAGATGTATTTTTAACCCACTTTAACTCACCCACATTGCAATCCTAGTGAAGACAAGGCAGTTATAATTTCAACCTGCATTAGCTGGTGAAGGTAAACCCTAGTGGGGAGCATAGGGTTTTCCTTCACCAGCTAACACAAGTTAAAATTACAGCTGCTTTGTCTTCACTAGGATTGTAACATGGTTTAGTTTAACACTGATTAAAAACATACCTAGTGAAGTCACGTCCCCAGGGAGGATGATGCTGTAGAGTGATAGTGGCCCATTATCCATCTTCCAGTTCCAACTTTTTAAGGTATGAATGGGAGGCTTGGTCTCTACTGAGGGGAGCTGTAGCTTCACTGCAAAAAGGGTGCGTTTTACACTGAGATAACTAGCCTCGTGGAGACAAGCCACTGCAGTTTTTAACCTCAATATGCCTACATGTGAAAAGCACAAATTGCTTTGTCTTCAGGAGAATTTTACCATGGCAGTTACCACATGTAATCTAAAACCTGGTAAAAACACGCTTTTCCCCCTAATGTCGATGCATCCTTATAGATTGATTCTGGTACTGTAGAGTTATAAATGACAGACCTGATCTTCAGTGTGATGAGCTCTAATAGGAATAGATTGTCATGGTAGGAGTGGAGGAATACACTGAAATGCACCCCAGGCAAATTTTGTCCAATGGAACAAATGTTGAAGTGTCTGCATAGTTGTATTAATAGCTTTCCTGATGAATCATTAATCTGCCCTGCTGAAGCTGACCAAAGGAATGATGTGTTTAAATTTTTATTTCATATTCAACCAAGGCCAGGAGAAAGGTCTATTGTCATTTGAAGATATCGGTATATTGCAGTCAAAGGGCAAATTTTTGGTCTGTATTTTCAACTTGATTATCTGGAGATTTCTAAGATGCTTTTCACAGCAGGGTACTACTCAATTGTGTTTTAACAACTTATAGCTGAATATGGCCCTAGGAGCTAGTTCACGAGGAGGACAAGGGTATATCTACACTGTAGTGTAAGCCCGTGCTTGAGCCTAGGCTCAAGCCTAACTCCCCTTGTGTCTACACTGCAATTGGGCTAACCCGGGTCCAAGCTCAAGTTAAGCTGGGACCCAGGGTCCAAGCCCTATTGCTTAGCAGTGTAGACACAGCTCCAGTTGACTTAGGTCTTGGGAGTCCACTGGAAATATGACAAAATTCCATGTGACAACTTCCTTAGTCTGCTCTAGGCCAACAATCTGCAATCTACTCTATCGAAAATGGAAGCCACCCCCACCCTTTGCAAATGGCAGCAGTTCAGGTCAGTATTAACCCATTCTCTTCTGATCACTGATCTGCAAGCCCACTGTCAGACAGCCTCCTGGCTTTGCAATGGAGAGCGAATCCATCAACCCTTTTGCAAAGCAAGCTACTTCCTGGTAACATGCAGGGCAGGCAGTAAAGTTTTCCCACAGTGCACCACAATCATAGGGCTACAGCAGCCACATTTCAGGGGCAAGGGGCCCTAGGGATGAGGCTATGGTTACTTTGACTTGGGGTGATGCACTGCTGTGTGGACGTCAGAGCCCTAGATTCGAGTACAGGTTAGAAAAGTCTTAGCCTAGGGTTAAAATACACTGTAGATGTTCAAGTCAAGGCTTCCCTAACACGGGTTAGCTGACTCAAGTCTCACTATCTCTGGGCTTATATTGCAGTGTTGTTATACCATTAGGCAACTAACTGCCCCTTTAAGCACTATGTCCAACATTTAGAAACCACTAGCATTCACAAAACACTGCTCAACTGCCAACTAACCTTGTAAGTGCCTAAATTCCCTTGGCACCCAAATTTCCACTAGTAAAGTCCTCTAGATGCCTAAATGTTTATCAGCGAGCATGCACAAAAGTGTCTGAGAGCTGAAACCACCAAGCAATTCAGTGCCTAACTCATGCGTAAGCCCAGCGGGATTCACAAACTGCAGCTTTCAGCATCTAAATAGCTTTAACAGTCTTTAAAGATCCTTTTGAAAATGGGACTTGTGTTCCTAAATCATTTAGATGCTTTTGAAATTTTCCTCCCTGGGACTGTAACTATGATTATTTGCAAAACAAAAAGATATTGGGTTTTGTTACTAAATTGAGTTCAGTATCTCCTGCTAACTAGGTTTACACATATCATAATACAGTATTTTTTATTATTATTGTCCTTGTGGTTATAGACCCCATTTTACTGCTTGAATCCAATATACCACATGCTGCACAAGACAAAACATTGTCGGGTAATAAAGCGCATAGCATACTATGATACACCAGCATGTAAAAACCTTTGTTATAGTCATTTCTCTGCACGCATCTCTGTTTTATTTGTAATGTCTCCAAAACAATGGTGTTTCAACTGGGGGCTCTGAACTTTCCAATGGAAAAAAAGTGTTTGGGAAAGTTTTAGATCAGGTCATTTGAGTAAGTGATCAAATATAAAAACAAGACATGAACATTCAGGCTCCAGCCCTCAGTTCGGGTCCAGAAGTTGCGCTTCAGTCACCAAAAACAGGTCCAATCTACACTGACTGTCACTGGCCCACATGGTCCCTAATATCCCTGGGGGTTGTTGGAGTATGGGAATGCCCTGGCTATTGCCCCAGGACTGGCAGCTGGAGGGGTGGCGGATGTAAGAGCCTCTACAGCAGCTCAACACCAGCTAGGGATCCTCCAGCAGCCTGCTAAGCTGGCTTTGTGCTGCCTGAGGACTGCAATGCAGCACACTGGGGAACCTCACTGTTTACTTTGACAGACGAGGTCAGGGATTTGACGTCAGTTGCAGAAATAAAGTTACTTTCATTTTAGTTTCCAGAGGACACAACTGTCTAGTTACATTCCCCAGCTATTTCGTCCTACAGAAGACTGAAGGCACCCAATACTTTTTAAAAGGAATTAATTTATTATTTGATTTCACTGAGAGGTCGGTTCCATTTCCATTGCTGTTTCCAGACATGCAGATCCTTCGGGTTACGCTAGATGGCTAAAACATCACCTTACTGTATTAAGGGGTTGGGGCTCAGCTGTGCCTGCAGATTTAGTCCACTTTCCCAGATGGAGGAAATGAGTAACCCATGTGACAAAGAGTCAGGTGACTTGAGCCAGACATGCTGGGAGATAAAAAGGCAACATGTGGCCCAGGGAGATGGGAGAGCCAAGTAGCAGGAGGTTGCTGTCTGATGCCCTATCCCAAGGGAGATGTTTGAGCCTAGGATAGAGAGGTAGAAAGAGACTTGAAAGTGACAGCAGGAGGGAAGAGCGAGGAGCCCGGGAGTTAGTATGCCAGAGAAGAGCAGGAGGGCAGCAAGTGTAGGAAGAAGCCCTGGGGGAAAGAAGCAGAGCAGCATGTAGCCATAGGCAGGACAGCCCTAACTGTTTTGCTGGCCAGGATGGAAAAAGTTTCCAGCCACCCACCCCTAGCTGCTGAGCAATAAAAAAAAAAAAAATCAAAAAATCAATCTGACCAATTGGAGTGGATTAAAAAAAATAAATCTTGAGCAGCACAGCAGTCTGGTGCCCAGGCTGACCACCCTGCCTGCCCACCCACCCCTAGAACTGGGCCCTGGCTGTTGGGGCAAGGCAGCCCCATTGGTTCAGGTTCCCAGGCTGGGCCCCTCAAAGAGCACAAGGGTAGGTTCCCACTGTACAGTCCCAAGGAGGAGAGTTGTGGAGCCCCTATCCCAAGAGGGGAAGAATTTTGAGCCCAGAGGACAGGCTGAAGAGGGGGTAAAGGTGAGCGGAAGACAAACCTTTGGGGCAGGACGGGCTGTGCACAGCTTAAGCCTAGGGCAAAAGACTGGTTGGTCATCTGTTTTATTGGATTTTGATACCACAGAAGGAGTGGACTCTTGTGACTTCGCTGGAGGGACTGTGTCATCTCAGCAACTGAACTGAGCTGATGACTGGAAGAATTAGTCAGAGCTCCAGGAGGGGAAACTTAGGCTGGGTGACTGCATTGCCCTGTGGGGGTTACACGCTGGGACTGCACCCTGTGACACGTCCAATTAAAATGGGCATATAACAGTTTCATAATGATATTTGTATGCAGTATAAAATTTGACATCCAAGATCTACTTGTCTTTAGTATCTTATTTTACCAGGTCCAAAAGTAGATCTGTGTGTAACATACCCTGGTAAGTGGTCGTTCTAATTCAGATCACAACCAGACACTGAATCTGCTGTAGGGGAAGACAATGGCTGTCATTGAACCTCCTCATTGGGTAGGACTTCATTCTGCACGTCTGGCCTTCCTAACCACCGGGCTCAGCAGCAGGTCGATTGTGCCTCTCAGACTCGTTTGAAAGCCCTCTCTGGGACAGCAGAAGCTGCTAAGGAAGATCATCTCAGTAGTTGATTTGAGGGCTTCTTTCATCATAACCTATAGAATAGCAGGAGACAAGGGTAGCATGGCCCATACGGGGCGGGGGGGGGGGAGAGAGGGTGGATTACTAGAAGGGGAATCTTGTTGCTGAGGAGACTGGAACATTAGTATTCGGACTTGCTGCCTTTTATGAGTGCACGCAGCACTTAAGTAACTAAGGGCTTGTCTACACTTACAGTGCTGCACTGGCGGCTGTGCCATGGTAGCGCTTAGTGAAGACGCTACCTATGCAGATGGAAGAGCTTCTCCTGTCAGCATAGGGAATCCACCTCCCCAAGAGGCAGTAGTTATGTCAATGGGAGAAGCCCTCCCATTAACATAGCCCTGTCTACACCGGGGGTTATCTTGGTATAACTGCATTGCCCATGGGTGTGGATTTTCTACATCACTGAGCGATATATTTATACCAGTGTAAATTAATGATGTAGACCAGGGGTCAAGAATCAGTCTGTGCCAGTGTCAGCATAGTATTTCTGGACAGTTTTTCTGTGGGTTTCCTCATTAAGTTCCCTCCCTCTCACAATTCCGTGTTGTACAAGGATGCATGGTGCAAGCAGATGAGTATTGATTCAACCAGAACACACATGCTGTGGCAAATGGAATTTAGCCTTTGACCTTCAGCTTTGACCTCTCTGCCTCCGAGACACAATGGACTAGTGAGAAATACCTCTCCACCCCATCTCCATGAACAACGCCCTTCATTTCGAGGGACGCCACACACACACACACACACCCCCGCTTAGCCCTAGGTGCTCAGTTATTACACTCATGTGGCCACAGACATACCAAGTAAATGGACCTGTCTTGAATCTAAAAAAACAACCCTGACGTTCTCTCATTCTTTTATCATCATAAATTATTCCATCAGAAATACAGAATCATGGAACAGAGATGAGACAAAGCCATTTCCACTAAAGACTTCAATCTCATGTCTTTGTAAATTTCCTGGATTCATAATTTTTTCTGGGCCCTTCTGTTGGGACTTTTTTATACACTGTATCCTACACTTGTGTCCTGGCAGGTTGAGATGTACAGGAAAAAGAATATGACAGATTCATATTAAGGGCACAAAATGTTAAATACATGGAGAACCTCAGATGGAAGGTGCTATCTAGGTATAAGTTCCTAGCATGTGTGGTTTACAAGGACAGGTGACGCATCTTGGTCTAATGACCATTTGGTTTGCTCACAAGGTTTTCAGTGGCAGACTATAAAACTTGATGGATTTAGTCATATTCATTTGTAGATAGTGTTTTATGAAACATACCCTGGGGAAAAAAATCTGCAATAAAACCAAGAAGGGAAAAGCCGAACATACACTTCTCTTCTAGGATTCTTATCTTACCATTTGCCAGAGCAAAGGTCTCATGCAGCAAAGGTCTCCTCCAATATATAAGGTTGGGGGGTCTCAAATTTCTCAAATACATCTGCTTCAAAAGAAAAATATTCTTATCTTGGAAACGGACAAAAACAATGCTCCTTGCAGCTCCAGTCAAATACATTCAGACTGGCTACCAGAACCTATAGTTACATGTAAAAAGAAAAGGCTTATCTCTCTATTTAACCATTACATTTCTAACCACAGGGCCTTGCTCTTTTGTGCTAGGTTTATCTGATAACATTCTCTCTCTGCTGTGATCCAATCTCAGGAAATTTAAAATCAACACATACAGATAGCTTAGACAAAGCACTAGGACAAGTGAGATTCCTGTGAATTTTGGGCCTGTTCCAACTCCCATAGAAGTTAATGTGAATCTTTCCATTCACTTCAATGGACTTTGGAGCAAGCCCTTCAACAGGAAGCTGGGGTCAGGGTAAGAATCTGCACCTTCTAGAAAGAGTAAGAAAAATGAATCTTTTGTTTAGAAAATCATATGTGAACTCATAGCTAAGTTGGCAATGCTGGGAGCAGTCTGGAGAGGGGAGGGAAAGGCAAGAAGAGAGTCTTAATTTTAAGCGTATCTCTTAAATTGATTTCAAGGGGGGGCAGGGATCAGCATTCATGTTGCACTCCCCGTCAGTACCTGGCCCAAGCCGGGGAAGTTAATGATCCAACCAGCAAACCAAATTTGGTGATGAATCCTAGTCACTTACCACCCGAGGCATGTTGTGCATACGCTAAGAGGAATTAATTTCAAGATAATAAAGAGAAGGGGTAGGGTGCTGGAGCTGAGAGGAGAAAGTACACAATTCTGAGTATTTTGCAGTTAAAGCACCACTAATCATGCAAGCTGGCCTAGTTTTGCCTAAGATTTCTTGTTTGCATCCCAAAAACACATTGTACAAAACTCAGATACAGGCACACTTCTGAAAATGTGCCCCATAAAGGCCCACCAACACCCTTTTGCTAATTCCTGCAGCATGCAGGGCTGCAGCTGGTTGCAAAAGAGGTGACACTCGACAATCTCTTGCGGATTCTCCTAGAACAACTGTCAGGACATTTCAGTGAAAGCCAGCTCCAAAGCCCATTGTAATCACTGGGATTCTTTCCATTGATTGACAATGGGCTTGGGCTAAAATGCAATATATACACCGAAGGAATCCCACTGCCCGGCCTTCCTTATATGCTGTGGTTTTGTCTGTAATAATAATAAATGGGACAGATACTGCTAAGATTTCAATTCAGACCATCAAAATCCTTTGAAGGTTAGGGTGAAAGGCCGGGCAGCCTACATAGCCACCCATCAGACATTTCTACAGGACCCAAATAAATCAACTTCAAATGAACAAATGCGTGACTCTTACCTGCTTTGTTTTTCCCTTTCTGTGTTGTGATTGTTCTGGAAGGGAAACACTCTCCCCCTGCAGAGCAAAATACAGTCATTTCAGTGTATCCTTCAGCACATGCTGCCACATGATTCTCATGAGTTATTTGCTCTTCATTAACTGTTCATTAGTTGGATAAGATTATTTGTAGGATAAACTGATGATTCAGCTCCACAGAAGGTCAAGGAAAAACCAGCGTGAAATCTCAATCCTGCCGCCGGCAATAGTCTGGGCTGGCCTTGGTGTAAGCGAGTGGAATTTGGTCCATCATGTTGTATAAGTAGCTCAGGATCAACACGATATGAAACAAATAGGTCAGGGCCACCAGTAATTCCACTTTTTATCAGGATCATTGAAGGAGCTGGTGAGATTAAAACTTTTTTAAATGCTAACGGGGAAAAAATCTGTTCTATAAATTAATATATGATTTTGTATCAATAGTGTTAGGGCCAGGTCATGATACAGGCTGTTTTTATTTTAGTGATTGTGGCAGTGTCACTCCTGGATTTGCAGCAACCCACTGCTATAGCCCCATTCGGTCACAAAAGATAAAAGGGGTTTATTGGGCTGTCTCCCCTTTCAGGCAGGGCACCACCTGCAGCAGTCTTACGCAGCAGCTATGGAAAAGTCACAGGTAGCAAATCACACCGAGAGTCCTGCATCAGGCCTACCTTCCCTCAGGGAGATTCTGGCAGCAGCAGTCTCTAGTTAGTTCCTGGCCACAGACAGCAGTGGTGTCAATTCTGATAGTTCTTTGGGGGAAGGGGGCAAAGTCTGTATGGAGGGGTGGCTGGGTCAAATTTCAGTAGTGTTATGACCACACAGCCAAAGTAGGGTGACCAGACAGCAAGTGTGAAAAATCAGAACAGGGGGTGGGGGTAATAGGAGCCTATATAAGAAAAAGACCCAAAAATTGGGACTGTGCCTATAAAATCAGGACATCTGGTCACCCTAAGCTGACGCAACCCTTCAGACTGCTCTGGCAGCAGCTGTACTGATTAGGGTTGCCAACCCTCCAGCACTGTCCTGGAGTCTCCAGGAATTAAAGAATACTCTTTAATTAAGAGTTATGTCATGTGACTAAACCTTCAGGAATACTCCCAACCAAAACTGGCAGCCCTAGTACTGATGTCATGCAGGCCCGCTGCTTAAAAGTGTTGGGGCCATGCCCCTTCCCCCACACTCCACAGCCTGGAACTTTGAGTGAGAGCAAAAACCTTGGGGGGGACTCACTCCCCAGCCCAACCCTAATTGCTACCAGCCAGGCTTCTTCTCTTCTGCTTTCCCTCCCAGCCAGAACCCAACTGACCTGGGCTGTCCCCTATTAACTCCTCCCTCCAGCCCGCTACCTAATGCGGGAGTAGTGGGTCAGAGCTGATTAAGCCCTCAGCAACTCATTAGCCCTGTCCAGGGTGGCATTTGTATTCCCCCATCACAGTGCTATTCAATTTAAGACTGGTCCATCTAAAGCAAAGGGGCACATTCTCTTCTTGAAATGCAGGGATGAAATACACACAGGGTGATTCATAGCTGAAATTCTCCTTTCTGATCTTCATAGCAAATCTCAGTCGATATAGCATTCTCTCTACATGGCCAGAAACCTCATTTTCATGTAAGGAAACAGCTCTACCATGCTGGTATGAGGGCAAAGTTCTCCTCTATATAAGACCCAATGTTCAAAATTGTGAAAATACATTCTTGCTATGACATACCTGTTTGATTTCTAGCAGCTCTTGATGAAAACTTGAGAAGTTTTATATATATAAAACTTATACACATGTATATATACATATATACACCCTCAGTCCATGGCAGAAATTTCAATGAATGAGCTGGCAGATGGCCAAGAATGTGCTATAGTTAATCAGAACTGCATTCATTTGCTGAACTGGAAGGCTACAAATGGCTAATACTTCCACAGAGACAGAATATGTGATCTTGTGCTGTGAATAAAGGCTTTGGGCTGCCATTGACTCAGTGGACTTTGGATCAGGCCCTTTCTCAGCAGGGATTTGGATTGGCTGTGTTAATTCACAAGAGTGAAAGCTACAAATGAGTTCTACATGGAGCTCATTGGTGGGGCAGGGCCTGAGTGACAGGGGTAGATTGATACTAAACTGACCCAAAAATACTGAAGATGGAGAAGGTGGAGAGTGATATAAGGGTGAGATTTTGCCTATCTATAGCACTTGTCATCAGAGGATGGTGCACAGTATTATAGCAAATCTCAAAGCACTCTATAGGTAAGTGCTATCTCCCTTTTGTAGATGGGAAACTGGGACTCAGAGAGGTGAAGGACCTGATTTGTTGAGTTACTACTGAACTCAGCCAGAGCTAGCATGGTCCACCTCTCAGAAAAATCAACCTTGAGTGAGTTGGCCAAGCTTGCAGCAAGTTAGTGACAGAAACCAGTATCAGATCAAAGAGTTCCTGACTCCCACACCTATGCTCTAACCACTAGACCATGTTGCTTGCTGTATGTGTCATTTCACATTCTTTCTATAAAGACACCTTTCTGCTCCTCCCTAGAATGATTCAACAAGGCAGGGCAGGGGCATGAATGCAGCAGGTTGCAACAGAAACATTCAGCTTCCCCTCTTCAAAATGGCTTTATTTAAAACCAGAATTGAAGAGCTTTTGGGCAGGATTAAAAAAACCCAATTAGCCAAAACACAGTTGCATGCCTTTCTTTTTGTAATGTGGACAGGGGACGCTCTTCAGAGTAGAGGGCCCTGATTAGCCAATACATTTGTTCTTAAACAGCAGCACATGAGTGTGATATCAGAGCTGAAATCTTCTGTCCCCATAACGATGTGTCTAAGTTGCAGGCTTAACCCATGTTATTATGCATGGGTTAGTCCCAACCACACTATCATCCACACATAAAACCCTTAAACTCATACTTGTATATGTTTTAAACCTGGGCATTCTTGTACAGCTGGGGGTCTGGGGTAAAGCCTGTGTTTCATATTAAGGAATGTTCCAAACTGTCCATTTTGCAGTGAAGATGTAGCTAAAGCATGTATTGCTGAGCTCATGTTCAGTTAATCCTCCAGTGCTGCCCCACAATTCCCAAGCCTGTTTGTTCTGGTCCTTCTACCTACTCACTTCCCATACCACATGTCATCCAAGATGGATTCCAAGTGGGAGAGAGGCGGGATTTAAATGTGAAATTAGCACTTACTATTAAAAAAATTGCACTTATTTAAAAAAATCAGGATAATCAGGATTACATTCTTAGCAAGCATGAGTGCATATCCTGCTCTCTGTGAAACTCTGTCACCCCGATAGACTCATATAGAGTTATATCGATGCTAGCATTACAGCAGTGTCCCAGACAGTCTGAATTAAAAGAACAAGTGGATATACTAAGTGAAATCCCTTGGGAAATCAGTACTTGTCCTCCCGGTCCTGATGTCCAGGAAGGAGGAAGAACCTGGTCTGCTGTTAGCAAGCCTCTGCCTTCTAGTTCAGCATACTGTTAATGTTTGCCCAAAATTTCTCCCCTTCTGGCAGGTAATTCTTGAGAATTATTAATACAGAAGAAACTCAAGATGATAAGTGAGATCCCTGGGCAGGGCAAACTTCTCATAGCCACCCCTATAACTTACTAGCCCTCTCCATGCCTTGCTATGCTGTTCAGTCAGCAAACAATGAAAAATCTCCTTTGCACAGATGGATGGAATTCAACTCCTGGTCTGGAAAAGCTGCTCCCTCCTCCACTGCAGGACTTCCAATCGATTAATATCTTCTAAGGCTTCCCTGACCTGAAATAATGATAAAACTACTACTGGTGACAGGCCTCCGGTCTGATTGCCTTAAGTCACCCCCACCCCCATTTTTTTAATGGAAATAAATCAAAAATTCTGACCATAGTCCGTCTTTAGGATGGGTACGTGGCTAGAAGAGGCTTCTGAACAGGTCAGTAAAAATGATCTAAATAAAAGCATACCAAACTGATAAACGTAGAAACTGTAGGATGGGGAGATTCTTTTCTTCCACCCAGGCTCCCCACCCTGCCCAATGGACAAAACATAACACACACTTTAATTTCCTTTGCAGGAACTTCCAGCTCAGCTGGACTGAGGCAGCTGCCCAGGACTCTTGAGGCGAGTTCACCCAACAAAGTGGAAAAAGGAAAAGGCTCAGAGATGACATTGGGTGCAGGTCAGACAAACACCTGCAGTGCCAGAGGAAAGGAGGAGCAAAACAGGAAGCAGGAGGAGAGCACGGCTGCTTGTGTTCTGCTTGAGCATGAGTAAGGGATCAGGACTCAGTGCAGCACAGGGAGCTGTTTGAACAGCTGCTCACCCTGATGGCCACCACTTCGCAGCCCGCAGTTTCAACACCATAAGCAGTGCCCATGGGCTCTCCTCCATGCTACTACATCCAGTGCAGCCACTGGAGAGCCCTGTGGCTTTGGGTGGGCTCTGAGCAACTCCATGAACTGGAATGGGCAGATGTACCCTATTCACTCCACCCCGTCCAAACCGTTCAGCCAGGGGGAAGGAGAACAGACACTCTTTTGACATCCAGTTCCACTGCCAGGGAGACTGCACAGCTTGCACTTTAGCTAATGGCACAGTTCTACGCTCTGTTTCACTTTCTTACCCTTTTACATCATTATTTGTGGACAGGCAGCTGGGATGCCTGCAATGGTCATCGGAATACTTTGAGTTATTTTAATACTTTTGTTTATAAATTGGTTTGGCTGAACAATACATTGGTGTCTGAGTGCTTGGAAAAGCAGGAAGTTGTATCCAAAACTTTTAATAAAGGATCAAACTCTCTTACAATCCCATAAAACCAATAGCAAATAAACAATAGCAAATCAGCAAAATAACAAATACATTGATATGCGTACTACAAAAATACATAGCATTGCATTCCCCCACCACAGCATCACATTTCCTCACCAATGTCACCCCAAAATTAAAAGTACAGGTGCACAGTGCGTTCCTAGGTTCACTTGCTGGCCTGGACCCAGATCCAGAGATGACAGGTGCACTTTCTGGTTTGCTGTACAGGCCTGCAAAATGACAGTGTCCTGAGCCCACACCAGGCAAAAATGTTTTCCCTTATTCATGCATATGTTGAACAGAGCACAATAATACACAGGGCACTAGCTGCATTGGCATCCAAATAGTTCTGTAGGCAGTGCCATCCTGCCTTCAGCCTGCAAAATGGACAACCAGCACCATCCTGCAATTGCTCAGTGTGTAACCGGCCTTTCTTTTGTCATGTTCCCTGGGGTCAGTGTGTATTTTGGAGGGAATTAGGTCCCTTCTTGTCCAAACAAGTAAAGGCCAGATCTTCTCAGCACCCTGTTTTCAGGCCCCTTTCCAGTACATCCTATGTTTGTGGTCATGAACCTGCCTCTGTGGATGACCAAGGCCTGCAGAATGATTGAGTAGCATCCTTTGAATTTGACATATTCATGTGCTCCTTGTCACAGGTGAACTATGGACATGTGAGTGCCATTGATGGCTCCAGCACAGAGTGGGAAGCCCATTCTCTCAAAGCCAGATATTTTTCCAGACACATTAGCAATGTCCACCACAGTATTAATTGCCTCACAAATCTCCATCACCACAACCCCAAGAGCTGACTTACCAACCCAACTCCAAACTGGTTAACTATGGACTATAGCAGTCTGGGAGCCAGAATCCAGATGGCAATAGCAACCTGCTTCTGGTCCAGTATAATGGCCTCCCTCAATTGTGTGTCCTGGTGCTGG